GAAGGTTGACAATCTGTATTTGTTTCATTTCATATTTTGTTTTATTGTATCTCATTTCATCGTATTTTATTTCATAATTCAGTAAGAAAACTGTACTGATGCTCTCTGTTCCCACCTGGAAGGATTTCAGAGTAGTTCAGATGTGGGAAAGAAAGCTTGGGTGCCAGAGGGAGACATTTTGCAACACACATTTAAAAAGACATGGCAGTCTTGTTAACATATTGATATAAATGCTGAAGAGATTGTCATAGACGCACAGTTTTAAAGTGCCCTTTATAGCTGAATTTTAAAAATAAAGGAAAAAATACTTTTTGCTTTCTTTTTCCTCCCAATTACGTTTTAAGAGAATTGTCCAAGGTTTCAGATGTAAGAAAATTGCTTCTTCCTCCTGATTTTGGCTAAGTTTTATTGTTGTGAAAATTTTCTGAATTGTATTTATTTTAACTTGTATAGATGTAATTGATTATTTCAGAAGGGTTAACTTTTTGATGTGGTTATTATAGGAAGTAAAAGAAAAAGATAAATTCTATTGAAATATTTGATACAGATACTTTCTCTTCTTTGTAATGTGGTTTCCTCTTCTGTTTCCATTAAATTATTATTTTTATATGTAAAGGTCACTAGTCTGTTGCTGCTATTACTTCCCCCGTATTGTCACATTCAAATAAATAATTTTTCCCTGTGGAAATTGTGCTCAACTATTGTACAGAAGCAGTTTTCTCTATCATTATTGACTGAAAATTAGTTATTTGGAATTTTTTAGTGGAGACAGCGGTTTCACTTCCGTAGATAAGACAAGGCTATCAGGTGGTTGCCTTCTTCATTGGGCTTTATCTCTTGTCCCACATTTAGGCAGTTACACTTCTGATTGTTTTTAACTTATTTGTTAAAGTATGCCTGTAAACAACAGGAAACAGTGAGTGGTTTTTACCTAAAATAAATGTTTTTCTAGTTTTCAAAAAATAGTGGAGGGGACTTCTGGATTTGGGTGTGGCTTCGAGACTGGAAGGAGGTTCAGGTGTCGCTCCGTCCTAACAACAAGGAAAAGCTGAGCAGGCTGAACAATCAACAGCTCTTCTTAGGTCTATCAGAAAAATGAGGTCGCAGGGCAAGCTGCTGTCCCCCAGATTGCAGAGACAGGTGAATACAGAGAATCACAACTTCCATCACAACTCTGGGAACCAGTACTGAGCTGGGAAAACGCAAACTGCAATAGATGAATTGCTGGAGGCTCCCCCTGGGGGGACTCAGGAGGGCCACATATGTCTGTGAGCTCAACCTCAAGGGGCTCAGCGCAGTGCATGCCGGAGAAAAGCTCCTAGTGCTTCTGGCAGGAGGAGGGGAGAAGGAACCATTTTGAAATGCACCAGAGCATTCTGTTCTTTTTAGCAAGATAGGCCCTCGGGAGAAACTATTTAAATAGAGCTTAACTGACCCCGGGGAGGAAGTACCTAACTCCAGGCAGCTCTAGCCTTTCGAGTGATAGAAGGGAAGTCCCAACTCCTGCCTAATCTAGCCGTCCTGTCCTCCAGAAGGAAGGGGGCGGGGCGGGGCGGGGGTGGGGGTGGGGTGGGGGAAGAAACGGAGAAGGTTTGTGACGTTCCCAGTACAGAGGCAGAGACTCACTGGCAAACTGAAACCTAGTCACAGGGCTATAGCACGCTCCACTCGCCAGCCCCTCACCACCACATTGCTGAGTCCTATTTACAGCAGTTTCTTTTACCCGGGAGGGCATGTCCGGCCGTCAGGTAAAAGCTACAAGGCACACTAGAAGGCAAAAAAATCGTTGAGGTTCTTAAATTTCATAGTAAAACTGTTATCAGGTATTCGAAGTATGGTGATAGTCTGCAGCCCACACCTTGTGAGATATAAATGTAATTGGAAAAACCTGGAAAAATATTTTCATATGTTTAAACGAATGTATAAAACACATGTATATATTACTTAGTATGTAACGGCTAAAGTTACTATATGTTCAGATTGAATAAGCTTATTTATTCACATCAGATCTGTACTAAATTCCTTTAGTCTAAAAGTTTTTATAGAGGGAGAGTATCAGTCCCAAACAATACTTACTGATCCACCACAGCTGAGTAACAGATCTTTAGACCAGTACCACTCAGCTGAGCTTTAATCTTTATGGTACACCTTGAATATTTATTTTCAAGTTACTTTTAGAATTCACACAAAGTAAGGAGCATTATACTGATCAGAAGACATTTCATATATGTATGTGTCCCCTGAAAATATTTAAAGTAGAGGTTGTAATTGTTATTTATGTTAAGCCTGGGTTTAACATCTCTTTACCAAGTCAGTGGTAAGGAAAAAGTTGGGAGTGGGGCTCTTCAAAGTTAAAAGGCACTATACTTTTTGAAAAAGTCCTTTACAAAAAAAATTTTTTTGTAGGCACATTTTTGGGAAGTAGAATATGTACTGAGTATTAGAGGACATTGAGAACTTACTGTTAATTTGGTAGGTGTGGTAATTGTGGTTATGGGGAAAAAACATATTTTTTAAAGCTTCATACTGAAGTATTTAGGGGGGTGATGTCTTTTGCCTGAAATTACTTTAAGAAGCTTCAACACACACAAAAGATGAAGATGGCAAAATATTAACAATTGTTGAATCTGGGCAGTGGGTATGTGGGTGTTCACTATACTATTCTTTATGTATTTCTGTATTTGAAAAATTTTGATAATAAAAGATAGGAAAAATTTCTAGTTTTTGTGCCTAAGGAATAAACTCAAACAAGCCATCAGCAAATAAGGAGGACCCTTCTGGACTTAAAAAATGTTCAGTTCACCTTGCTGTGCATTTTTTTCCTCTTCAGTTAGAAGACTATATTAGTCATCTAGTCTTGACTGACAGTATGTATCTGGACATTTATGTAATCTCATACCGAATGACTGTTTTTCAACATCCTATCAACTATTCTGAACATGCTGGGAGTCTGTGTAAACATACCAAGAGAACAAAAGAAGTTAAAAAAAAACCCTTCAAATAAACTATTATTACAAAGACAGTGATTAGGGAGTAAATAAATTAGCTGTTGGCTCTTTATGGTAGACCCTACTCATTTGAGGATGCTGGATCAGAAAAAGGATTATCATGGAGCTGTTTACGTACTGACTAGCTGTTGTTAAGAAAGTGTTTGAAAATGTAGTGATGAGTGTGGTACTAATTTCTCTTCTTCCTTATCCTGTTTTTTAAGAACACAATGAATGGCAACAAACCATGAAAATACACCAGAACCTCTAATGCTGATCCCTAACTTATATTTTATCCAGGGGTTACTTAAAGAAGTATTGGGAAGCAGCCGCATAGCACAGGGAGATCCGCTCAGTGCTTTGTGACCACCTAGAGGGGTGGGATAGGGAGGGTGGGAGGGAGACGCAAGAGGGAGGGGATATGGGGATATATGTATGCATATGGCTGGTTCTCTTTGTTGCACAACAGAAACTAACACAGTATTGTGACGCAATTATACTCCAATAGAGATGTATTAAAAAAAGTACTCATTTCACATGTATTTTCTGAGCACCTCTTGTGCGTAAGGCATGGCTGCTCATTGCCATACAAATTGACGTTGTATAAGGCGCTAATGAATCCTGACCCCAGAGCTGTCTGTATTTAAGACTTTCCATCGTAGGGGATAGAAAAGGAACTAGAGTTAACCTAAGTAAAAGAGCATTGAGCATTGTTGTTGTTTGTTTGATCAGAAGAAGAGGGAGGCTTGCCCCCCCCCCCCCACAGGACTCAGTTCTTGAATCTCTTCGCTTCTGTTTGTATTCTCTTCCTTGCCAGTCTCATACAGTCTCTTGCTTTTAATTATCGACTGTGAGTGGATGACTTCCTGATACATATCTTCAGACTAAAGACTTGATCTCATCCCAGAACTCCATACTCATATATCCAACTTCGTGCGTTGTTCATCCAGCGGCTCGAAATTAACATGGCTTAACTTAATTCTTCATCTTCCTCCTCCAGGCCTGCTCCTTGGACAGTCTTCCCCATCTTACTGTGCCCTTTTGCTCAGCCCCCAAACTTTGGAATTTTCCCCATGTGAACTGCAATAGTCTCCCAATTGGTCTCCCAGCTTTATTCTTGCCTCTGTGGCCGGTTCTAACCCAGCTGCCAGAATGATCTTTAAAAAGTCAGGTTAGGTAGTCAGATCATGTCATTGCTGTACCGGAAACCCTCCATTATTTTTGTCTGTCAGAGTAAAAAGCCAAAGCCCTTAGAGCAGTCCACACCGCCCTCCCTGCCCCTGAACTTACTTACTAACCAGGCTTCTGTTGCCGCGCCTTCTCACTTGATGTTCTCTCTCCCTGGAGTGTGCTTCCAGATGTGCACATGGCCTGGCCTCTGCTTCTAGGTTAGGTTAGGTCCTCACTCATTGTGTACTTAATTTTGTTTAATATTTGTCTCCCTTTCTAGGGTGTAGGAAGTCAGGGATTTTTGTCGTGCTTGGTAAATATTTGTTGAATGAATAAATGTCCGATGAGGGGGAGCTTGTTCGGCACGAGAACAACGTGTGCTGCCAGTTTAAGACGTTATTTATGAAAACTGAATAACCACGATACAAGCAGTATCTGAAAAGCTGATTTATCTCAGTGGTTCTTGGAAGTATTTCATGCAGTATATTAAGTGTTTGATGAGGGTCTCTGTGACTTTGGTGATTCTCTTTCTGGAAAATAAGACCTCACTCAATATTTTTCTTTTTCTAACTTTTTCTTTTTTAGCTGATGTAAAACTTTGTTTAGTCAGATTTATAAAAGCCACTGTTTTTTTTTTTTTGCGGTATGCGGGCCTCTCCTGTTGCAGAGCACAGGCTCCGGACGGGCAGGCTCAGCGGCCATGGCTCACGGGCCCAGCCGCTCCAAGGCATGTGGGATTTTCCCAGACCGGGGCACAAACCCGTGTCCCCTGCATCGGCAGGCGGACTCTCAACCACTGCGCCACCAGGGAAGCCCAAGCCACTGGTTTTGAATACTAGAATCATATATTCTTTTCGTATGTAAACAAGTTGAGGTTGTTTTAGTAGGGCTTCAGCTCTGAAAACAGAACACTCCGGGTGTGTTGGCAGAAATGCTTTACTATAGGAAATTAGGTGCTTGTGAAAGGCCTAGGAGGGGTGGAAGAGCCAGTCCCAGATCACAGAAGGGCTGACCTGCCAGGGAGCCGCCAGCCCAAAGGCTGTCCCTGGACTGCTCAATGTGAGAAAGACCCAAGTTAGCTGTGACCCTGGGACTAGAAAGCTGCAGCTGCCCTGGTACCCTTACAAGCCGGTACTGGAATGTGGGGTGTTCCCGTCATCCCTCAGAACCGCTGCTTCTCACCCAAGACTCAGCTGGAGACTAGACATTCTACCTTGCGGTTTTCTTGCAGAAAACAGCCAGAAAGGCAGGAAGATAGTCTCTACCTCACTTCTGCTTTCAAGTACTGCATGAGTGCATCCAGTTGGTAGAAACTAATTCTCATTTGGAAGTCTAACTACAAAGGAGTCTGAGAAGTAGAGCTTTTTGAGCTTTCCGTCCTCTGGCACCCCAGAAATCGGGAGGGGTTGGGCGGTTATGTGAACAGATCAATATTGTCCCCATGGCCCTGTCTTAGCTGGTTTCAGAGTGAGCAGAAGAACATCCACAGCCTGACCTGGGAAGTTAGAAGGTCCCCGGGCAGCCAGTTTTGTGGCTCTGCACCTCTGGGCCCCTGGGGCGTGGCTCCCCTTGCCTGCTTCCCCTTTCCTCACCACTTGCCTGCCTTGTTCGTTTGTTTGCCTGTGCCTCAGCAGCTCCTGAGTCTGTCTGACCTGCTCTTTGGCTTCCTGTAGGCGGTTGTCTCTTTCTTTTGGTCATAAGGGGGGCTGCAGGAACAGCAGGTGGTGTTCCTTCTCCAAGGCCAAGAATGGGCAAGCTCTCCAAGAAGGAAGCGTGGCGTACATAGTTAACACGTGAACACAAGACTAGTTGCCGGCGGGACGTGGTTAGCTCTGGACGGGAGAAGAAGGTCGGGACGGACGTGGAAGCGTTGGGGAGGAGCGAGAGTGAGGGGGTCTGCAGGGTGAGGGGTCAGCTAGGTGAAGTCTCGCCGAGAGTGACGGCAGGGGGTGCTGAAGGAGGTTTGAGGGTGTCCTCCGCACAGAATACTTGCTAATGGTAAGTGTCTTAAGAGTATCGATAATTCAAAAGTAGTTTAAACTGATATGTCCCCTCAGGGACGGGTACTTACTTTCTAACTCCTGTGGCTGCAGACAGCCCTGCGCCAGAGCTTTGTGTGAGCGCAGAGCTTCCTGAGAGCAGATCTCGGCTGTGGAAGGCGCCCCTGGGAGCGCTGCAGGGGAAGTCTGCCCGCCAGCGGGCCCCCAGCCTGTCCCTGGGCATTCGTGTTCTTGAGAAGTTTCAGTAAATGGGGTTGATGCAGGCGGTGTCACACTTTTATACTGCATTTTTTGACACTCTTAAATCGAACATTTTTAATACGCTATTGGTCATTTCTAGTCTTTTATGATTTGCTCCTTCATTTGGAGGTGGGGATGGCTGTCATTTTCACATTTTTCTCATGACCAGTTGTTGGGTCATTCCAGGAACATTCATTCCTCTGAGTTTGGTGCCAGGCACACCATTTACCCCTAGATCAGCGGTCCCCAACCTTTTCGGCACCAGGGACTGGTTTCGTGGAAGACAACTTTTCCAATGCCGGCGGCCGGGGGCGGAGGGGAGGGATGGATCAGGCGGTAATGCGAGCGACGGTGGGGAGCGCCGGGGGTGGGGGGGGGGGAAGCGCCGGGGAGCGGCAGGTGAAGCTTCATTCGCCTGCCTGCCGCTCACCTCCTGCTCTATGGCCCGGTTCCTTAACAGGCTGCGGACCGGTACGGCCTGCGGCCCAGGGGTTGGGGACCCCTGCCCTAGATGCTCTCAGCCTGTGAATAAGTGACAGTCAAGCACTTTGCACGGATTTTCAGTCGCTGAAAAGTCTACTCGTTCTGTAACTATGAAATTGTAAAAAGTTTAGAGATAGAAGAGACCTGTCAGGTACCTGGTCTGATCTCCTATTAGAGATTAATTAACTAATTAATAGGTTAAATGCCTTGCTCCAAGCTGTGACAGTGAGAGGATGTGGCAGTGAACCACATTTTCTGCTTTGTGAGGCCAAAGCAGCAGATGGTCTTCCAGACAGCTGGAATGTGTTACTACCCTTGACCTTCAATGAAGGTATCTCTCAGCTTTTCAATTTTTAAGTTCTCCTTAAATTCAGCCATTGTACAAAATGAGAAGGGAGGTAAATTCTGGGTTTTTGTGCTTAACCAAACTGTATCTGTGTAATGGCAGAATATTAAGAAAAAATTGAATGAGGAATGATTACATATTAAGTATTTACTTACCTGTTTATTTAAACATAGATTTGGCAATAGCTGTGATACAAACATGCTTTAAAACTTGGAATGCTGTTTGTTGGTGTCTGCTGTGTTCACTGAAAGCACATGTCATCTCATGAAATAGTGTCAAGAATAGTTTAAAAAAGAGATAGTTGTAAATACTGAATACCTTTCTGCTTGAGAGAGAAATTTTGCAAAGAAAAAGTACTAGAATATTTATTAAAGTAAACAAACTAAAGGAAAACTGTAATATGCTTTCTCAAACTTCTGAACTTTTAAGCTGAATTTCTGAATGATAATCACCTGAACAAAGTGAGAAATAGGTTTGACAAGGCTTAAACTTTAGGACAGGTGAAACAAAGATTATTGATTCTTAAAATTAAGCTTCATTTTATTTTCTCCTTTTATCTTATATCACCCCGATGACCAGCGGACTCTTAAATGATTACCACAGTTTAACTTCTTTGCCAAAGTAAATCAACATTTGGAAAATGGCACAGGAATGCTATATTTGTAGATTTTGTTAGTTCTCTAAAGAATCTTCTTAGTTTTATAGTCTTTATGGATGTTTTGAATTTATTTACATATTTATTTTTTCTTCCCAAGTTTAAGGAGGTAAATATAATAAAAAATGATGTAGTTATATATTTTGTAACTTTTGCTCTGCTGTTACCCTTGAGAGGCATCCTAGTTCAGTAGCTCAAAGCATGGGCTTTGAAGGCGGAAGCTCTGTGTTGAAATCAGCTCTCCCATTGTTGCCTCTGGAGCTCCTTTTCTTTTTTCTCCCCTCCTCTCCCCTTCCCTTTTCCTCCCTCCCTCCCTCTCTCCCTTCCTCGCCTCTTCCCCTCCCCTCCCTCCTTCCTTCCTTGTGGTGGGGGTGTGGTATTTAAACTTCTAAGCCTCAGTGTCACTACATGTAAAACGGTGATCCCTGTGTCACAGGATTGTGAGGGTTAGCTGCGCTGTGAAGTGGTGCCCTGGCACAAAGTAAGGGTTTGATAATTTAGTCAGGTCTTTGTTTTGGTTTTTTAGCACTCGTAGTTATTTTACTACTTTGAAGGAAGCATTTGTGAATTATGTTTTCTCTGGTAAACAATGAAATTGAGCAAATCCTGAGACTGCTCCCACTCAAGAGTACTTTATGGAAGGCTCAGGAAAAGAAGGCAGCTACCTCTCTCTCTCTCTCTTTCTCTTTTTTTTTTTCCCCCCTTTATCTGCTGGTCCCTTAGAGCAGACATGAGCTAGAGGCATAGGACAGAAGCCCTCCTTGCCCTGCCTTGCCCCGCCTTGCCCCGCAGGAGCCTTCCCTCTAAGGTGACTGGCAGGCCGAAAGCACAGCGAGTAGGGCCAGCCTTGCAGAGGGAGCTGGGGAAGGAAGGGGGGAGCAGGCTTGGAGGAGGAGAGCGGCCGTCACTCTGGGGAGGAGGGGCTGGGAGCGGCTCGAGCGTCCACTGAGTGCACTGGCCTTTCCCGTTCCAGGCGCCAGGCGGAAGGCTAGGGAGGGGCTTGGGGGTCGGCACCGGAGGCCTGCCCCGGCGCTCCCGGGCCGAGGGGCTTGCGGGGGCAGAAGCGGGGGCGGGGTCGAGGGCGGGGCCGCAGGGAGGAGGCGGGAGGGAGGTGGAGTCGCTGGGAGCTGGGGGCTGCGCGGGCTGCTGGGAGAAGCCTTGGGAGAGGGGCGGGCCTCGGGCCTCGGGCCTCCGTGGTGCGGAGGGGAGGGCGGGGCTGCGAGGGGCAGTGGGCCGGTGGACCGGAAGCCTCTCCGGCTCTCTGCGGGAGTGTGGTGGAGCGAAGCCCAGCCGCCCTGGAGTCGGCAGTGACAGGGCGGGTTTCAGAGTGCCAGCGTCTCTCTGGTGGTCCTCATGCACACCTGGGCCGCTTCTTAGCACCTTTGCCAGATGCCATTGTTTGTTTTGTTTTCCGCGTTTAGTTTATTTTTGAATGGAATGCTTTATTTTTCTACGGATTCTGACAGCTTTTACACTGTGAGGAAAATTGTTTAGAATTTATTTTGCAACCCATGGAAAAGTGTTAATATGTAAGTAAATGACCTTGAAATTAAGGCTTGGTTGACATTTTATTTGCCAGGGTTATTTTGTTTTGTTTAAGGAATTACAGTTAACTCATAAATAAACTGATAAAATTGACAAAACTTTTCTGGGGAGACCTGTTAGTTTATTTTTGAAAAATATACGTTTCTTTTAGCACATTTCCTCTTTTACTTCTGCAAGTACAGTCCCTTTTGTGTAAGTGAATGTAGTAGTGTCTTTGGATTCAATACATTTGGACTTCTCAGACATTTGAAATTGGCATATAAAGTGTGGTGTTTGTGACGTCTCTCTGCCCTCTGCTGGTCAAAATGTACTATTGCTCTTAACTCTGTAGCTTCAGTCATTCGTTTGAATGAAATAATACCCTGTAATATCAAGAGTGGCCAAAAAATCAAATTTGGGGGAAAAAAACCTTTATTGTTTGAAAGGACTGTATTCTTCTTAGGGAAATCCTGCACGATGAATTGTTCTTCCCCAGAGGCCGATAGTGCTGTGGGTGAGAAATATGACTGTCTCTACCACACTGATGATCATTTTTATATTGTGTGTGTTCGTATTCTTTTCTGAACTTTTCTGTAAGTTCTAGATCTGCTCTGTCCAGTGTGGTTGGCCACTAGCCATATGCTGTTTAAGCGAACTTAAATATTCACTTCCTTACTCCCACTAGCCACATATCAAGGCCTGAAAGCCACACATATGGCTAATAGCTACTGTGTTGGACAATGCAGATTAAAGAATGTTTTCATATCTCAGAAAGTTCAGTTGACAGTGCTGTTCTGAGTTTTAAATTTTAAATAAGGATTATCATTGTCATGAAGTAATCATTGTTTTTACATTTACAACGAATTTCTTTCTTTGGCATGTACCCTTTTCACATGAAAACAGTTTTAACTGAGGGAATATGTTTAGTAGGATTTTAGTTTATTAAGTTTTTTTGTACCATGTAATTTACTGCAATTTTTTTTTTTTTTTTTTTTGCGGTACGCGGGCCTCTCACTGTTGTGGCCTCTCCCGTTGCGGGGCACAGGCTCCGGACGCGCAGGCTCAGCGGCCATGGCTCACTGGGCCCAGCCGCTCCGCGGCATGTGGGATCTTCCCGGACCGGGGCACGAACCCGCATCCCTTGCATCGGCAGGCGGACTCTCAACCACTGCGCCACCAGGGAAGCCCTGTAATTTACTGCTTTTATTGCCAAATGATTACGGTACAGTTTTCTCAATGTAGAGCATTGAGCATTTCTAGTGTTTTCTTTCTCTGCTTTGAAGATTAAATTTAAAGTTAAAAATATTGGCCATCTTTCTCTGTGCCATTTAATTGAGGTGATAGCTGCTTTCTCCTTTTGGTGTGTGTTTGGGATGGAATGAAAGATATAAGTCAGAGCATATGTAGAGAAACTAAGACTTTGTGACATTGTGAATCATACTTAATATATGTTGATTGTTTAAAAAGAATACATTTTACCCAGATTTCTCTAATGGCAACATTTTGCAAAACTACAGTATCACAACTAGGATATTGACATTGATACAATTTCCAATTTTACAGTGATTTCTGCAGTTTTACTTGCATTCGTGTGTGTGTGAGGGCATGTTTTCTGTACACCACCAGGATCTCTCGTGTTGCTCTTTTATAGCCACACACGCCTTCCTCGCATCCCCCCTGCCCCCTCCCATCCCTGCTTCTGGCAACCATAATCTGTTTTCCACTTGTAAAATTTTCTTTTTTTAATTTC